AAAATGATTTGCATAAAGATGGGACCTGAACTATGAAAAAAAAAAAAAAAAAAAAAAAAGGAAAAAAAGAAGGGGGGAAAATGAAAAAGAAAAAGAAATGCTGCCAGTTCCTGGACTGGCTCCAGTTTGATTGCAAGGAGAGTTGCCTGCAGCTCAATGCTTCAGAGTGCCTGGCCGAAGTGCTGGGGCCATGCCAAAGGCTGATGCACATTCCCTGCACCATAGGAAGAGTTTTTTCCTGTTCCCCTTCATCCTGCTGCTACATGCCATGAACATCTYGTGCTTACAGGCTTGGGAGCTCCCAGCTGTAGCACTGGCATTGGGGAGCTGGGGGCTCCGCAAAGCCCCCTGGGGTGATTTTGCTTTGGAAGCTCTGCAGGGGTTGAGTTTCTGGAGTCCTGAGTTCTGTGTTTCTATGGGTCCCTCACTCCCCTGTCTCAGTCTTTAGGCAAACCCAAGGCCTTTATCTCTGGATTTCTCCTCTTGGATTAGCAGGGACTCTTGTATGTGTCTGCATATCTCAGTGCTTTTTCCATCTCACTTCCTTTACAGCTGTGAGCTCGTGGCTAATTGTGCACCTCCCTCTAAAATCCCACTCAAAGGCACCTCCAAGTCAATGGAGAGAGCTCTTGTGAGCAGTCTGAGAAAAGTCTGCTGAAAACCAGGAGAAGACAACACACTACTGCCCAGCCTGTGCTTCCACCAGCCTGCACTGACCCCCCCTTAGTGACGCCCCTGCTTGCTCTACCACGGTCTGGGCAAGAAATGCCCACCAGGGAGGGCAGGTCTCTCAGGGCACATTTCCCCATCAGTTCAGATTCCCTTTTAATGCAAAGTCCATGTGGTAAATTGCTGCCACACCACTCCCCTTTGGGGTCCTTTCGTCCCCATGCGCTAGCAAGGGATGCACCAGCCTTTGTCCCATGCTGCTCCCTCCTTCCAAGAGCCTGGGGGAGGCTCCATGCTGGCAGGTGGATCAATGATTTTTTCATTATTTGCTGCTTGATCTAAATGTGTCTCAGCTTGAAAAATCCCTCGCTCCACCCAGATTCAAGTGTGAGCGTTTTGTCTGAGCACAGGCAGCTCCCACTGCCAAATATTCCAGGAGGAATAAAACAGGAGGAAGCTGGGCATGGAGGAACAGCCAGGCTCTAGGGCAGTTTGGTAGGGGCTTGCAAAACAGAAACCAGCCAGAGACGGATGTTTGTCATGGGATAAGAACATGCAAACATTTCAGAGGAAGGGGAAGGGAGGGGAAAGATGTTTGATAAAATATGTTTGCTCCTTTGAGCAAACGGGAAAAAAGGAAAGGATGTTTCCTGCAAGAAAACTTGGAGTGTGACTTTTAAAGAAGGAAAGAAGCTTGAGATTAAAATGGGAATCTTATGGGAGAAATTCCTCTTTGTCACAAGAAAAGAAGTTTTGGGCCCAGATGGTTTCCTCCATCAAATGTTAACAGCTTCTGGTCAAGCTGCCTTTTCTTCAGATGATGGTGCCAACCAGTTTGAGTCCCTTTGGCAATAGACACTGCATTTGGCAAAGAGAGGGTTTGGGTSTGGAACTGCTCTGGAATCACATAGAGAGATACCACAAGATGCCCCAAACCCCTGTGTGCTGTGAGGGGTCAGTGTGGGGACAAGGGAATGCTGAAAGCTCCCTGGGGCTTTGTCRGGGACTGGATGGACACCTTGTCCCAGCTCGGACATGTGAGCAGCTGACCRCTGTCCCTGCAGCCAGACGAGGAGACAGCAGAGCAAAGCAATCACCTGCTGTGTTTATATTTGGCTCTAGAGTGCTTTGTTTGGAGGCAGAGTAATGAAAATCATCCGAAGGAAGTTGTTGAGAAGTTGGTGAGAAAATTATGAACAACCAAAAAAGGGAGTTATAAAAAAATTTGCTGTCCAAACTGAACTCTAGAGTTACCCAACCACATGGCAATAATAGAAACAAGAGAGCTGGAAAGGTAAACACTTGAAAAGACGTTCCTGCCTTCCATCCTGCCTTTTTTTTCCTCCCCTGGTAAACAAATTTTAACAAGAGGAGTTGCAACATCTCCAGTGCTTGTCAATTTGAGCTCAGCCCACACGACGTTATATTCTGCCCTGTAAATTACAGCTGGTTTGATGGCAACTCCAGGTACTTGACTTTGGGCAATAAACAACACCTAGGGTGCAAAAACATGGGAAATCTTTAAGCCTTTGCTGTTGGAGCTGGAATCCACCACTCTCCTTGGTAAGTGCAGTGAGCTTTAGGATCAGTGTCTCTTCCTTGGCAGGTCAGTCCCATGGAGTGAGGATGGGTTTGGGCTCTCTCCCGTGGAACAGGCTTTGCCGAGGATGAGGACAGTGCCTGCTGGTTTGTCTGGCCTGCAGACTGCTCTCAGCCATGTGCCTCCATCAGAGAACAGCAATGGCAACTGTSACCCTGGAACACAGCAGGGTGGGACAGTGGCCCAGGAGCAGCAAGCACAAGGGCTCCCACATGCCATGGGACGAGTGAGCTCCTCTGTTGCCAGGTGAACCCTGGCTGTGCCTTGCTGAAACCACCAAAAATGGTGGCTGCAGAATCCCACAGGCTGGGGAGAAAGGCTGCAGCCTGCCTGGTGCCTCAGCAGGTGGGAATTTAGAAACAAAGTGGGAAAAAAATCAAGCTCTACAAGATTCATTCTGACGCTTAATAAGAAATGCGCAACAGATTCTACAAAGAAAGAATTTTTCTGTCCTTGCCACCACTTTCTTATCAGAAACAGGGAATGAATGTGATTTTCCCCCATCATTCATGCAGCACCCTTGGTCGAATCTGTTCAGTTTTCATTTTACTTCCTTTTCCATTTATTTTAACAGTGAGTTAAAGGGTCCTGGAGAACAGTGTTAGGGACAGTCCAGCACAGGCATTAGCTTCAACTCTGGCAATGCCACCTCTGAGGGGACTGACTGCAGGTTTGTCTGACACAGGAGGGAAGCAGGTTGAGCCAGTGCCTAAATACTGCTTTAATTAAGGGGTTTGTATGAGTAAGGAAAGGGAAATTGAATCAACATCTGCACTGTGCACTGGTAAAAGCAGCTCTGACACCCACACTGGTAATTGGGTGTCAATGCATCAAAATGGGTGCAGAGAAGAGCAATAAAAATGATCCATGGGCTGGAAAAAAAATAGGATGGAGACTTAGAGAACTCAATCTGTTCAGCTTGTTAAATAAGATCAAGGGGATGAGTGCAGTGTAATATATAGRATTCTTCCTGGTTAGAAACTGGGTACTAAAATGGTTCTGTGATTTAGAGGAGAAAAGAATAATAAGAACAAATGTCTGAAGTCAAAGCCAAAGAAAATTCAAATGGGAAATATGAGCTTTTTTTTTTTCTTAACACTAAGGATGATTAACCACTGGAACAGACTACAAAGAGAAGTGGTGGATTTGCCATYGCTTTCATTTTTAATGACTTCATTTTTTCTTCTCGAAAAGGACAAATGCAAAYATTTTCCATCAATTATTTGCATTAGATGATTTGAACCAAGCTCAAATCTGACATCATATGAATTCTTCCCTTGGACCAGCCATTGCCATGAAGARCTTCCATCTCTATTGTGGCAAAATAGTCTTTTTCCTCAACTAGGCCATGGAAAAGTAGAGAAACCTAATTCATAAATGGTGCAAATTCCATGGATTGTTTCCATTAGTGAAGGACCAGCATGAGACTTGTCTGGTGAAGAATAAAGCTCGATCAGTAGTGACATTCTCAGGGTGCATTGGAACACRATTTGCTCCTTCCTCCAGTGCTGGAGAAGGAAATCCAATTTTGCCAAGGGAGCAAGCTTGGCCCTCCGAGAGAAAAGGCACTTTTGCCAATGAAAAGGCTCATGAATGGGACCCAGATGTCCCAGGCAATATTGTTCTCAGTGACAATGAATTGCACATGTCTGGCACTCCCTGCCAGCACCGAGGCTCCCAGCAGCTTCTCAGAGAGGCACTGGTAGCTCCCCTGCACAGGTGAGGGCAGGGATCCACTGGCTCAACCCAGACTAGGGTTTGTGGTGCCGGGAAGCTCCAAATCCCACAGATGTCAGCTGAGATGGCTGCAGCTCAGCTGCCCTGGAAAGCAGGGATGTGTGGATGTTCCCAGGCAGGAAASACACTGAAAAGCAGTGGTCCCTTCTGAAAGTTTCAGCCAGAGTGACACCAGAATAAGGACCAAAATGGGAATGGGAACCCAGGAGCCTTCCAAACTGTTTTTATCTCCTAGTCACAAACCTGTTCTGTTATAGACAGAGCTGTGTCATGTTCTTTAATGATAAAAACTGTGAGAAAAGGGAATTCTACTAAAGATCGTTAATTTACTGTCTTCACACTCACTGCTGGAAGATGCTGCTGAGTGACCTTGACAATAAATTACTGGCTGTTATTCAGGTTGTGTGAATGTCAAGAGCAGCAGAGGAGAGAACCAGTCCTATATGGGCATACACACTAACATATAGTTATAATTATATATAATATATATAATATATATAATATATAGCTTTTATATATCTCCAGGAAAAAGGTCTTGGTGTTTCATAGCTATGAAAAAAGCAAGTGAAATGACAGGGGTAACTACAAGAGGGAAAGTGGGCACGGAACAGCATGGTACCATGGTACAAACCATAATGAGTGTTTGTCTTTGATACAATGTGCAGATTGGGTCTCTCCATCACGTGTGAAGGAACAAACAAGTGTGATACATGAACTGAGCTTTGGTTTTATGCAGACAGGTAGTAACAAGACAAGGGAAAAAGAGGGTACATTTGGTTTTTTCAAACCAACAAAGGGTAGATTTAGATTAGWTGTTGAGAAGAAATTCTTTCCTATGAGGGTGGTGAGGCCCTGGCACAGGGTGCCCAGAGAAGCTGTGGCTGCCCCTGGATCCCTGGAAGTGTCCAAGGCCAGGTTGGACGGGGCCTGGAGCAACCTGGGATAGTGGAAGGTGTCTCTGCATAGGGCAGGGAGTGGGACAGGATGAGCTTTGAGGACCCTTGCAAAGCAAACCAATTTGGGATTCCTTGTTGCAAACCAGGTAACTGGATGGGGACTGGAAAAGCTGAGCTGAGGGGAGAATACAAGAGCCAGTGACAAACACAGTGATGGCACAGAGGAGATGGACATAGAGCATAACAATTAGTGGGGGTTAAACAAACTTAACTGGTAGTGGCACAAGAACAACTTTTCCCAGCATCCATTTTTTCRACCAGGGTGAGGGCTAGGTGAGAGGAGTGGAGCATCTCTTTTGCTCCCATTACAGGGCAGGTTGACTCCTGGAGGTTTCCAGGAGCTCCCTGGAGAGGAAGGATCTGGATTTTGACTACATTTGCTCTGCTATGTGATGAAAGTAAAACTAATTAAGATTTTTTTCTATCCAAGTCCCCTACTACAGGGCAAACCTCTCTACTGCTTGGTGCATTTCAGAGAGAACACTCCAAATCTGTGTCCCTCACACATTACAGCACCTCTGCTGTGAGTTCCTTTGGTGACAACAGCAAAGAAGGGAACTGCAGCCCACTGCAGAGATGTGGCAGAAAGGACATCTGCAGTGTRGGGGATTTCTGGGCAATGTCAGATTTTACTTTTGGAGCCCTCTGGGGAAGGGGACTGAAAGAGGTGCTGTGATTCCTGGCTTGAGAGYTCTTGCTGAATTCAGCTGACAGAGKAGAGGAGGGACACTACTGAGAGCTGCTGTCGTGCACTTTGTTGGACTGTCAGCGCAGCAGCATGGGGGTTTCAGATGCTGATTGCTAAATGAATAATCTGTTATGCTCAAGAAAGATGATGGTTTTTGTAAAACAACCTTTGCTTCATACAAACCATCAGCTGAAAAGTATTCAGGATTATTTCTGCTTGCAGATRCTAAGATGCATTTGGTCCTGAATAGATCAGGCTGTAAGGTAAAATGTTTAGGATCCTATTCCCATGAGTGTGCCTGATCAAAAATTCACCTCTCTTYTGCCATCAAAGCACAGTGCCAACAYCCCAGCACACGGAGCCCTTGTTATTAAARCTGGGAAAGGTTGGTGCCAATTACAAGGATTCATGGGTTTCACGATGAGTGATTTACTCGAGGCTCTGTTCAAAGAACAGCCTGCAGCCCCGCTTAGAAGCCTGCAGCAGCAATAGATGGGAATAAGATCAGGGAATTCCTCAACAAACGTGCAATTTATTAGCTGACAGTGATCCTTTAAAGTGTTGCAGATTAAAACTGGGATACTCTGGTGTTAGTGGCAGTGCAGGGTGTTGAAATGGTTGTGCCACAGGCGCAGGGTCTGTGGAGGAGGAGCAGCACAGTCCTTCACCTCCTGCTCTGAGCCTGGGCAGCGTGTCCCTGAGCATTGATCAGGCTCTGCCACATCTGCCCTGGGCTTTCTTCCACGAGGGCTCCGTTTAATCTCCTCCAGCTGGGAGTTTCTGCCGTTGATGGCAGTAGCCAGCTCCTCCATCTACCTGCAAATCCAGACATTTACAGAGGAAGGCACACACATCATCGACATCCTGCTAGGGGAAGGCTTCTCTGAGCTTGGCTGTCTTTTGGGAGCATTTGCCTGTCAGCTTGGTAGGTGAGTCAGGAGCAGGGACATATCCCTGGCTGGGACACCGGGGAGCACTGGGTGACTTTCCAGTGGTGATGTGTTGACAAGGGTTTGCATGGAAGCATGGGAGAGATTTATGGGGTCGGTTCTGCCAAACACTTGTGATCCCACAAAAATGTAGCATCGTGTCCCACAGAGCCTGGCAGGATCACAGATGTGTTCSCTTCCAATTGTGTGTGGTGGGACATTATTCTCTCCCTTGTGACCTAATGGTCACTGACTTTTATTTCTCAAGCCTGCCTGTTTAATTAAGGAGTTGCTTCTTGCCCACAGTATGGGATGAGCTCGAATGAAAGCAGCATGCTTTGGAGGCTGAAATGAAACCCCAAATGTCAGCTCACCCACTGAGTGAGCTATTAAAGCCGACTGAAGTGGTTACATTATGGTGGCCATGGGTTGCCTTGCAGAATGAGCACTGTTGTGGGTGAAAACTACTTTTTTGATTTTTCTCAAGTTGCTTTTCACTTTTCTCCTAAATAAGCCTTTATGCTTTGTCTAAACAGATGAATTTGATGCTTAATAAAACTCTGCTTTGCCCAAGCACTTTCTGTGCTGGATGGTCTCAGTAAACACTTCAAATTTGGAAAGGGAWGTAATTGCTAAACTTTCACTGAGACACTGCATGCTGAGGTTACTTAACACCCTGGTATCAGTACAAATTACCAAACCAGAGATGGCATTTCATGTGGATGGAGGAGCTCTAAAGCAGCTGGCAATCACATCCCAACTTGTTAATCAACACTGAAGAAGCAATAAGTAGCTAATTTGCAGACGTGAAGTTCCTTTTTAAAGGGAAGATAATCTTCGAGCCTGTGCTGATAGAGAGAATGTCCCTCCTGAGCAGCTGCCAGAGGGATCGGTTCCCTCTCTGGTGGCAGGTTTTGGGTGGCTTGAGTGTCTCACTGCCCATGGGGTGGATGTTTCCATCCTGGAGCAGCTCCACTGCTCTCCCCAGCGCTCCCAAGGCTGACAAGGGAAATGTTCACAGTGCAAACCCRACAGCATCCACTGCAAAAACATCTGAGCTGCACATGTGCCACAGTCATACAAATGAGCTGGCACAGACTTGGACACAGTGCTGGCGTCAGACCTTTGGTTTAAAATCATATTTGGTAATAAAAGGGGGCAGAGGAGGTTTGGTATGTTTTCCAAGAAATAAAAATATTACTTTTTTGACCTGACTACAAATTGTTGCAATTGAGTTTTAAGTTTTAACACAGGGATTGGAGGGAGGAAAAGAAATGAGAAGGTTTTTGTTGCTCGAGTTTTCAAGGAAAAAAATCTGGCTTTTGTTTCCAGTTACTGATTTTTTTTTTCTTAATACAAAACATTTTGAATTATATCAGGGATATAATTCAATTTTCTTTGGCACAAAGCAGGGAGAATACGACAAAAATCGAAAGAGGCAATTTTAGCGTTTCATATCAAATGAAGGGGATTCCCTGGCTCTTTGAACAARACCTCTGCCTCAAAAAGCCTCTGTTGAGGAGTGCCCAGCAGGTCTCGCCACAGGAGAAGGAGCCATGGGCAGCACCTTGTCCTAGCCATGTCCCGAGGGGTGAGAAGAGGAGAAGGCTTACAGCACCACGAGGCTGCTGAGGTTCTGGAAGGCGAAATCGGGAATGTGCCAGATGTGGTTGAGCGCCAGGGTCATGGCTTGGAGCGCCGGCAGGTGGTTCAGAGCTCGGACKGGGATCTCCGTCAGGGCGTTATCATCCAGCCACAGGTGACGCAGGGAGAGCAGCCCCTCAAAGCTCTGGTCGGGCACCACGGAGATGAGGTTTGCATCCAGGCGTCTGGGGGGAGAGAAACAGGGTGGGGATCAGTGAGAGCCCAGCCTGCGGCGGCGGCGTTACGCAAAGGCAACCATGCCGAGGCGGAGGGATTGATGGCCAGGGAGATTGGAACAGGCTGTAAATAGTGATTAACATAAGAAGAGATTGGTGGAGCTGCCTCCTGTGCTGGGAGATGGGTAGCCACCGCCATCCCAAGGACCATCCCTCCTTGGTGGCCTTTTGGTGCTGCCAAATGCTGGTGGCTCCTGAAGCCCCATGGTTGGGCTCGGTCCTTCCTGCGGTTCCCCAGCCCAGCTGTGGGTTGCATCCACCCCYCTCAACACCGAGCATCAAAGCTGCATCATCCCCTGGGGCTGGGCTCGCCACGGACCTGCCCGAACGATGCGCTGGGCACAGCCCGACATCGGGCGCCCCGCAACCCGCTCACACCCACAGCTCTGCCGGACGACCACACCGTGCGGCCACGGCCATGTTCCACAGCCATGTTCCAAGGGGAGAGGATTTGTCTGGAAATGTGAAATTGTCACCGTCCTGCTCGGGGTCCTGACCCAAACCTGTGTCACTCTGCAGGAGCCGAGCCTGTGCTCTCATATCCCACTTTGGGCCTTTCCTCCCCCTCCATTTGCCAATTGTTTCTTTTTAATCATCATGGAAAGCTTAAGGCAGTTGAAATTGAGGTTTAATTTGGTGAGAAACTTTAATTCTGAGCATTTGTTTTTGTTTCAAAATAGAATGAGACGCCAAAAAATACTAAGCTTATTATGAAAAAAAAGTTTAAAACTTAGGTTTGGGAATCATCTCTAAAGATCTTTTGTTGCAATGATGATGAGCAGGACAGAATGTGTTATCTGCAGATTTTGAAACCAAATCATAAGAGGAAAATACTTCAGATTTGGATGAAATACCAGGAACCAATTATACCAAGGAAAAAGCAAATTTTAATTTCCATCCACAGCCAACAGAGCTTATTTTATTTTTCCAAGTTATCKAAAGGAAAAATCTCTGCATTCAAATTGCAAAGAGGAAGAACTCTGTCTCTTATCAAAGCATGAAAGAAGGAAGCTAACAGAGCTGTCATGGCCCAGCCCTMAAATCAACGATCCTCCAAAAAGGAATGCAGTAAAGAAATTAGTGTTCTTGACTATATGAAGTAATATTTTTGATGAACATTGAACACTGGAGCAAAGCCCCAGACACCATTACCTCCCAGGCTGCTTTGAAGAGTACCGAGATTTGTTAATTCTCAAAATACTGCTATGAACTCAGGAGGGAGAGACCAAATGCCCCATCACAAGTGGGAGCAGGGAAGAGGCTGGGTGCCAGCCCTGTTCTGTGCAGTGGGGTGTGGGTGGTATTTCCTGGCAGGCCTGGCCTGGRTGGACAAAGCTGGAGGTTTGTATCTGGTTAAGAAGTGCAGTCAAACTTTCCTGAGATTTCCTTCAGACAAATGCCCTTGAAATGCAGAGTACAAGATCTGGTACAGCAGCAGCATCACCTTAGGCTGGARTGATAACCTGGGGTTAAATCCCTATTTCATTACTCCCATTTTGCCACTTTAATTATGAATTACAGAGAGTGGGGAGGCCCTGGMACAGGGTGCCCAGAGCAGCTGTGGCTGCCCCTGGATCCCTGGCAGTGTCCAAGGCCAGGCTGGATGGGGCTTGGAGCAGCCTGGGATAGTGGAAAGTGTCCTTGCACATGGCAGAACAAGAACATGGTGAAACAAGATGAGCTTTGAGGTCCCTTCCAGCCCAAACCATCCTGTGATTCTATTTTCCGAAATTCTAGGACTCTTGCATTGCTGCAAAGTGACATTTGCCGGTGCAAGGCTGTTCAGTTAAGAATTTCCCAGCCGCGCTGAGAATCAGCAAAAGACATCATCCATCTTCTGGAGACAACAAGTCCAAATAATAAAGATTAGAAAAGCAAACCCTGCAGCAGCTCAGAGTAAGCTTGAGGACTCTCTTTGAAAAATTTTATCAAAATGTTTTGGGACAGACAAGAAATTTTGGAACAACATTGAAACTTYCGCAGGAAATTTTAATCTTCGCTTATTTTTTTCCAGTTCTTCCTCAGCATAAGAATTCTGTTAGGTTTTGGCATCATAAACTGTTAAAAAAAAAAAAAAAAGGCTGCACTGCTTACTCTTCCCAGAGATACTCTTTCATTCAAACCCCTGTAAGTTTACTGAAAATTGTTTTAAAGTGAATGCTCAGTTTCAAGTCTAATTTATTAAAGAGACAATGAAAATATYCATGAGAATAGTTATAATTTCTCAAACACAGACTAAGCTTTCAGAAATTGACATGCTAAACCAGAAACAAGGGCTAGTACATCAGGCTGAGCTGGGAAAGAACCAGGAACAGGGATGGGGACAGGGATAGGGACAAGGGAATGAGGTGGAGCCCATGGCCATCCAACTTCACATCCCATGAACTGGATGAAACCCTGGCTGTGTCTCACAGGGGAGTTTGTTTCCAGTGTGATGGTGGCCCAAGAGCTGGGGAAGCCATCAGTGGTACTGGATTTGCTCTGTGGCTTTCAGCAGCGCTTAGGAAAGGCACTGATTTCCCCAGAGATGTCCATGGGTATGGGAAGTGCAACATGGGGCTGTTTTTGGGTACCTGTCTGTCTTTGTGGATCCCTGTGGTTGGTACAGGGATGAGAACTTGGATCCATCAAGGAGTTTGTTACACTCCTGGGTGGTTTCTGGCCCTGTATCTCCATATCTTCACATCTCCACACCTCACTGCCAGTGTGGGGTCACCTGTGCAAGGCTTAGATGGACCCTAGCTGTCCTRCTCCCCAGCTCTGCAGAGGCTGCCTGGGGGACACGGGGAGGTGTGGCTGTGTGGTCACTGTCCGTGAGACATTCACTGGGATCGTGTTCTGGGGGGCTGTTGTGGAGCTCCACTCATTTAATTACTGTCAGTCTGCTCCAGAGCGTGGAGATCAGAGTCCAGACAGATCCCTCTGAGAGTGAAAGGGACACTTTGTGCTGGTCACAATGAGCAGGACCTGAGAAATCTCAGAATCAGCAACCTGCTTGGGCCACAGCACAGCAAGATGCACCTMCCTGGAGCCAGGTAAGCTAAAATTAGGAATGAGGCAGTGCCCAGCTGAAGACGTTTCACACRCAGCATGAATGGCAGGACTCCTTTTGTGCCCTTGCAGCACTGCAGAGRGGACAGGGAGCACGGGCTCAGTGACAGCTGCATTCCTGGCACCAAGGGATGGCTCACTGCTCCTCAGGGAGCTGCTGGCTCTTTCTGGAAGAGATGTGCATTCTTTCTAATAAAAGCTGTGCATGTGGGGATTGCTAATTGCTATGGCTTTCAGACAGCTCTCTACTCTCTTCTGGAAGCAAAAAAGCTGAAGTTCTTGGCACAGAACTGTCAGTAATTATATCAATTATACTAAACAAAAACCAACCCAACAGTTCTCTCCTTTCTTCAGTGTGTGACTCTGGCTCTGTAAGTGTTTTGTGTTATGATTTATACCTGAGGTAATTGGGTCGATTAGTGGGTAAATGAGACAGCACAGGCCGAGGCTGGCTCCTCACCTTCCACGGAGATGTTTTAATCTTTATTTCACCAAATCACTCAGTTGGTTTTCCTCACAAGCTTTAACCCGTTGGTTGCTTGCAGGGAAAGGCACCTCTGTCACAGAGCTGTTGGTGCCTCTGGARTGGCACTTATCCCACGCCTGCTGTCCAGCAGGGCTGTGGGTCTGCACAGAGAGTGACACACAGGGACTCCAGATGTCAGCAGGGACAACATTTCCAAATGACTTCACAGGCTTGAGCAAGACCCTGCAGAGTGTTGGCCTGTCTGTTGCAGGCAGAAGGAGGTGATTTTTAGTGGGACATTTAAAAAAAACAGCTTATGAAAACCAGCAGCTGCTGAGAGTCTCAGCTTCTGGCTTCAGAGCTTCATCTGCTGCTGAGAGTCACAGGGCATTTATACAACTGCAACATGACACTGACTCAAAAGCCCTAAAAGTGCCAGCAGTCACCTCAGACTTTACTCCATTTTCCCTTTTAGGGGCTACAGGGAGAGAGGGAACTGCCTGGAAGAACCTCCAAAGTCTGCTGGTCTGAGGCATCTTTTTCCCTGGGCAGATGTTCACATCTGTGCAGAGCCATGGTGACAGGAGCAGGTCAGCACCAAACATGAGTGTGCCTAAGCTTGCCTGCTGCTGCTGTGGAGTGACAGCTCTGGGGAGGCAGAGGAACCTGCCTGCAGTGGGAAAGGGAAGTGTTTCCTTGGGCTGGACATTGTCAGGTTGGCTTCATGTTGGGTTCCAGGGCTGAGGGCCCAACATGCCTTGGAAGTGCCCCTTCATTGCTTTGAACATTTTCTGCATTTGATAAATGCTTGAGGAGAAACCATCTGCATCCTTGCCAGGAGCAGTCCAGAGAGGATGGCGGGATCAGGAACACTTCTAGAAGGAGCCAGGCAAACAGGGAAGTGCTTTTCTGAGGATGAAAGGTCAAGAGTGGGAGATTGCTCCTTTCCAATGTGCAGAGGACAAGTCAATGCCACCAGTGCAGCTGCTCAGGTCTGGCCAGGGCTGGGRTGTGAGCAGTCATTGGTGCAGTGAACATGTTCTGAGGTTTGAGTTCATCCTGAACTGCAATCTGACATCTTGGGTTGCCTGTGCCACAGACCCAGCGGTTTCTAAGAGCTGTCTTGTTCCAAGGACTGTTTCCAGAATGCTTCAGAGGATGTCCAAGTGCATTTTTGAGCTGTTGATAACATGACTGGCAGAATAACCGGGAAAGAACTGGAATCAGTCACTTTGTTCCCTAACAGATGTGATGCAAATCTCAGGCTATGACTAGCAGAAGTGAATTTACCCACATTTTACCATTTCCTTCTGGCTGTGGAGCATTGACAGGGGGAGCTGCAGCCTGGAAACCAACAGAAATGCTCAATACCACACTGTTAGGAGACATCCCAAATTTTGCTGCTGTTTTTTCCTTCCTCACACACATCAGA